TGGACCTTCAGTGCCCAACACCCGGTAACTCTTAGAAGATTCTGAGCAAATATCGAGCATCAGCAACACTGATGCTATCTGAATGAATGAATGACTGAATGAAATGAATGAATGAGTAAATCATGCCCCCTCCAGTCACTTCCTACTTCTGGGATGGGATTCATCCTACCCAATCTCCAGGTGAGTTAAGAGGAAGATGCCACAGTTACGCCATGACATCAGTTTCATCAAACATGCCTGGGGATTCTGGGGAGGCATGTGCTGTTGTGACCTCTGACATCCAGCAACTTGGGTGTAGACCCCTGGTCTGCCTTTTCTGGGTTGTGTGACCTGGGCGAGCCAATTCACCTCTCCGAGCCTCACAGATCAAGACAAAAGTCGGTACAGGAATCACCTGCCAGGGTTGTTGTAACACACGGTATTTGAAGCCCCCAGCGGGGGGTGTGTATCCAGTAAACACCCCTAAACATTCCCTGCCATTGTTGTCTCTGTTACCGCTGATGCTGGGACAAGCAAGAGGCAAGACAGGGATGAGATGTCAGTGGCGAGAAGTACAGGTGTTCAGACAGCAAGCGGAGCTGGGACCACAAACCGCTGGCGATCCCTCGGCGAGCTACCCACAACGGCGTGTGGCAACCAACCACAGAACCCAGCGATGCACAATAAAAAGCATCCGTTTTGCTAACCTGTCTGCGGCCAGCTGGAGCTCAGCTGAGCGAGCCTCTTTGCTGAGGTTTGGGGCTCAGAGCGGCTTGACAGATGTTGGGGGTGAGGCTGAGCAGGCAGCAGTTTCCTGAAGGGAGTTCAACCCCCGCCACAGCAGAAACACGCCAGGCCCCCTGAGGCCTAGGCTTGGGACAGACCACCTCACGCTACTGGCCCAAACTAGGCACCTGCACAAATCCCTGCCTACGCCTTGAATGGGAAAACAGAGGCAGCAAAGCTAAAGGCAGGGAGGAGGGCGCGTTAGAGTACGGATGCCTCTATCCAATAGCCCAACACCAGCCAAACCTTGGGGAGGGACCCCTCGCTGGCCCTGCCCTGCCCTCCTCACCAGCTTCCTCTTCATCTCCTGCCACATCAGCTCTGGGTCAAAATCTGGAAGAGATCCTAGCAGCAGCACCAGTCTGTTCGTGGGGACCCAGTCCCCATCTTCCCGACATCTGGACCTGCTCTGGGGAGCCATTAATCTCGGGCAATTTCTTCCCTCACTTGATTTGTTTATTTAAGGAAAACAAGTTGCTCCTAATTAGAAGCACTGCTGTCGAGATGTTCGGTGCATTGTAGGCTGCCTATTTTCAGACCTTCTGCCTAAAATTATACCTGCGCTCAACATCTGTGAGTTCGTTCAGCAACTGTCCTAAGTGCAGGCTTCTGGTGAGACGTGGGCGTTGCGGGGCCGAGGGTGCCAGGGGCAGGGAACACGGGGCTTCGGAGCCCAGGTGCCAGGACAACGCATACATGGCGTCCCCTGCCCTCGTCAGAGCTGGCGCTATCACTGAATCAACGCTCCGGAGGTGCCCGGCACAGACCCAGACCGGACCAAAGGGCAGGCAGGAGAGCCCTTTTCTACACACACCTATGGGGACGAATGTGCTCAGAAACACACAAAGTGACACTGCCCCGGACACGCTCCGGAGCACACATGCATCCCCCCAAGATGGGCAGGCAGGCGCACATCCTCGGAGACAGAGTCGTGCACGGAGGTTACACCGCAACACCCAGGAGCACGCATCACAGACACCCACATGCACACGGAGACACACACATGTGTATATGGCAAATGACACACCCAGATCCTCACACTCAGGAAACACGGGCAGGCACATGGAGATACAGTCAGACATGCAGTGTTGTGCACAGCAGGCACCACACACACATTCGTGCACACAGGTACACAGGAGTTTACACTGTAGGACACACTCACTGCAACACGCATGTGGACACAAAATTGAAAAGTGCCCCTTAACACCACCATGTGCACATGTTCAGAAGCTCACATTTATACAGGTACACACACAGAAGATACCCGTGATAAGCAGCTGCACTCACAATGGAGGGAGACAAGCAACGTGCAATGCAGCACACACCCAGGCATGTACACTTACACAGAGGTACATTGAAAATCACATAAAGAGACAGGTGTGCAAGTAATGCCACAAGTTCACACTCATCACCACACACCCCATGTACACTGACACACCTGTAGGCACCAACACCCACATAGACACATATAAACAAGCCCATACGGCCACGAAAGCATGCACCAGGCAGACCTGGCCGGCTCCTAAGCCTGGGCATTCCAACCAACCCTCACAGCACAGGTGAGCGTCTGCACAGTCAGGCACCTGCACTGTCACAGACATACATGCAACTCACACATGCACAACTGCAAACACACCTGAATGTATACACACACACCCACGCTCACACTGATTCGCCCAGGTACGCATTCCTCTTGCAGGCAGGCGATCACACACACATGCTCGTAGATCCAGGGACAGGCAGTATCCCGAGTGCACACTCACACTGACACTATTCACACATATGTGTACACACACTTAAGGTTCACGTGTGAATCACACTCACAAAAGCACATGTGCACAACCTGGAGTGAGAATGCACATACATGCACACGTTCATGCACAAGTGTCTACACTTGTATGCACACACGCACACCCACATATCCTATTCCACTAGGGAAGCAAACTGTGTTTTCTGAGTCCTAAAAGATAAGCCCGCAGACGGAGATACACATGGTGGTCAGGCTGCTGCTCTGACCCTACCGCATTCCACCAACCCAGCCCAGGTCAGCGGGATAGGTCTGCCCTCCCGCCAAGGGGTGCAGCTGGTCAGCTTGCCCCCGGGATCCCAGAGGGGCATAGATGTCCCAAGTCTCCACACCACCCAGAAAGAAATAAGACTGCTCCATCCACAGCTTCCCCCACGACTTCAGAGACCTCCCCCACCTCACACACACATGCCAGGCACTTTCCCAGGGGCCTGTTCTCCGCTGCTCAGCCAACTGGATGCCTGACACCCAGACATGTGAACTTCTCTGCCCTGGGTCCCTATACAGCTGCAAAGTTGAAGCCATGGAGACAGCTCACCTCCACCTCCAGGCGTCGTCATGGTGATGCAGCAGCTGGGTGCATCCAGCCCTCCCAGACCGCCTGGCTCCCCACTCAGAGCTGCTGGTGCTTCTATGAGGAAGCACGAGGGGGCGGGGACTGCAGGTGTCAGGTGATTGGAGAGAACAAGGGTTTCACCCTCCAGTCAAGGATCACCTGGTGCTCAGGTGGGCAGCGCCAGACTCCCCAGGGGAAAACAGCACCCAGATGCCCACACACAAAACCTGAACTCAGACGGCCCTCTCACTGCATCCATGGAGCTCCAACCCACTCAAGTCTCCTTCTCCGTATTAGACACAGTCCCTGCACCATCCAGTCCCCCCAAGTGGAACAGTGAATTCTTCCTTTCCATGGAGGGACAGAGGCCGGAGGGCCTAGTAACGTGTTAAACAGATGCGCCTGAGTCCTGGGTGGTTTAAACATGAGTCACATCACCGCCTGGGATTTTGAAAATCTCATCTGTGATTCGGTTGACATACTCGGTCATAGAATGTCTGAACTGGGACCTCAGAGGACATGTGAAATCTCTTCCTTTTGCAGAAGCAGGAACTGGGGCCGAGAGAGGTCTAGTGATTTCTCAAAGTCAACGAGCAAAGTGAGGGCAGACTTGAAACTCAACGTCCTGACTTAGAGAGTGGGTCTCTCCAGGATATCAAGCACTGGCCTCCAGACACCCTGGAGGAATTCCTGGGTCTCAGCAGCCTAGGGAAGCAGCTCCTACTCCGGCCCCAAGTCAGAATCCCAAGCCAGTACAGGAGATCCTCAGATTTCCAGCTCCTGTCTCAACAACTGTCCGCGAACCACAGAGCGATGCGATTCCCCAGCGGCAGAGGCCCAGGTCAAGCAAGGGATCACGGGCCAGGGGGAGATCTCCAACCTTCACCTCCCTGCCTGCCTGTCTCACTGACCAACAAGTCCATGGCAGTGACCCCAACTCCGTACTAGCAAGGAAGCATGACACCATTTGGGGGCTGTGATCACAGGAGGGGCATCAAAACAATCCTTGGAGACCTAGTGGCCTCTTCAAAGTGTGATTTTCATTAGGAACAAAAATAATCTGGCCAAACTCATGAGCTATGCACTGAGCTCAGCAGAGCCTCTAGGGGCCTGGAGTATGGCAGATCACCCACATTCCCAGAGCTGGCGATGAGAAGGCCGGGGGCTCCTACCTAGTTCCCCGTTCCAACCCCTTTCAACACAAAGTTCACACCTGCCCAGGTTCGCATCTGAAGGGCCCTATCAAGCAGCCCCAAAAACTTCCCCCAAAGCCTTTGTTCATGCCAGAGCTGCAAGGAGCTGGAAGCGGTCCTTGCCTTCGCTAGTGTCTGCCAAGGAGGTGAGTAGGCTCCTGCAAAGATACTTGGGGCTGCTGGCTTGGATGGAAGCAATCTGGCTGAGCACAGCCCTGTCTCCAGTTCTCACCCTCTCCTTACACACACACACACACACACACACACACCCCAGAATTGACACAGACAAGCCTGCAAAGCCCTGGACACCAAGTCCATCGCCCTGGCAGCCCTGGATGCTGGTTCCAAATGACAACAAACCTCATTCACCAGAGTATCACCTCCAGCATGCCCCTCGTCAAGCCAACTTGGAAATCTGACCAGCTCATTCTCCCTCGGAACTCTGAACTGGCCAAGCAGGGGGTGACTCATGAAGGGGCCCACTGCCTTCCTTCTCACTCAGTTCAACCTGACAAGCCCTCCAGCGCCTGCCTTTGGGAACCCAGCAGGATGCCTGGGGCCGGGGAAGGAAGGGCTCCAGGTTGAGTCCGGGAGGCCCAATGTCCCACCCTCTGCCAAGGAGAGAAAGTTTGTCATCCACCGCCAGCCGGGCTGTCACCACGCCTGGTTCTTTACTCACCTGGCTCTGAGCGCTGAGCCCCAGGTCAGCAGGGGAGCAACTGGAACTAGGAGCCCAGATGGAGGGCAGGAGTCGGTTCCCAGCAGCTCCCCGCAGGCTTCCTCATGGATTCTTTGCGGATCCCTCTGACCCAGCCCAGGCGGCAGGCAGCCCTTACCTGAGGGGTTCCGGCCACTTGCAAACTCTGCCGGGAGCCGGCCGGGCCGGGGTCTTTCTCCGAGACTCCCGCGTCCCGCTTGGCGAGCCCGCTCTGGGGCGCCTTCCCAGCTGCCAGATGCTGCAGTGGCATCAAAGAAAACGGAGTCCGGATTCCCTTCTCGCCGCCGAGGCTCCTCCAGCCCGGCCCAGGCTGTTCCTCCGGGGCTGGTCCGAGGGGCAGCCTCCCGCCTCCAGCGGGAAAGTGGCGGGGCGTGCGTCCTGGATTGCAGCAGCCGCCGCGGCCGCGGTGGCCAGGGCCGTGGAGGCGTCGGCGACGCCAGCCGGCGAGCCGGGGCGGCGGGCGGAGGCGCAGGCAGGAGAAAGCCGGCTCCGCGAGCCTGGCGCGCGGGCGGGCTGGCCGGCGGGCGGCACTGCGGGCGCCCCGCGCCACGGCGAGGCCCCGCGCAGACACCCACCCTGGGGATGCCCGGGCCCGCTGTGCGCCGGGCACCGGCTGCGGCTGAGCGCCGGGCTCCGGCCGCCTCGCCTCTGGCTCGCCGCCTCCCTCACTGGCTCGCTCCCCCGGACTTCACGTCTCCAGCCCCAGCTCCCCGCGCCGCCGCTGCTGCCAGCAGCGCGCCTCAGCCCGGCGCGCTCCTCGCACAGAAGCGCAGCACTGCCTACCGCTTAACTCCTTGCATGCCACCTGGCCCTCCCGCAGCCTCCCGGGCAGCTGGGCGCACCGGGTGCCCGCCGGGCTGCGAGCTTCTGCAAGGGCCTGGGGCTCTGAGCCTCAGTCTCCTTATCTGTGAAATGGGCTCAAGACGCACGTCATAGAGTTATTTGGAGAATTGACGAAGACTTTTGTGCAACGTGCCAAGCCGCCTGGCATGGAGCAGGCACTCAGCAAATGGCAGTGTGTTTATGGTTGCTGCTGCCGGTGCTGAAGAAGCTTAACACAGCGTCTCGCAAATAGCAAACACCCAATAAAGGGCGGTTTGGCATTTTGGTGTTGGGTCTGTGGTCCTAGCAGGCGGCAGCTTTCAACTGTGTGGCTTCCAGCTGATCACTTGCCTTCTCTGAGCCTGTTTCAGAAATTCCCTGCAGAGCCCTGTGACCTTGGGCAAGTCTCGACAACCCTCTGTGCTCTGTACCCTCATTTGTAAAGTAGAGAGTTTACACGAAAGCCCACCGTCAAAGGCTCTCCGGGGGAAGGAGTCCATCCCATGAGGTAACAAGTGACAAGGGTCACCGTTGAATGAGACCCTCCGAAGGGCCAGACACCTGGTCATCGTCTCACAAAGTCATCGAAACAGCCCTGGAAGCAGCTAGTTTTATGCCCATTCAGAGAACCAGGACACAGGGATATAAGGGGCTCCCTGAGGGTGGCACAGGTAGAAAACAGCGGAACCAGGATTTGAACCCTGAACTTTCTGATCACTACAACCAGTGTCTGCTAAGCTTGGTACTCAGGGAGTGGCTCTAAAGTGGCCATTTCTTGGGTCTAGCAATAAGAATTCATGTCTGCATTTCTTTTCTTAGAGCACATTCTTTTCCCAACAATAAAATTCATTCTTGTCTAATGTAGTACTTTAGAAAATTTTGAGAAGAATAAAAAAAAAGCACATCCACCCTATTCCCACCACCCAGAGACACTGATTGTTAATAATCCTGATGTAGTTCCTTCCAGGCTTTTTTCTCTACCTACGTGTAAATCAGCAGGCACAAAGGAATCATCCCACGGGCCCCATTCTGTATCAGGAGATGGGAGGGCCTGGCAAGGCAGCTCATAAATCCTTTGCTAAGACTAGATTTCCAGTTTCTACCACTCCAACAACCCCGGGTGTAATTACCCTACAAGCGCAAGAGAAATCCTACCAGCTTGGGGATTTGTGCATTTCACCCAGTTACTAGTGGGCAGCCCTGCTCCGATTCTTTCCCTTCCTCCACCCCACCTTGTGCCTCCTTCTTGGAAGACCTAATCACGCCATTCCCTGGAGTAGGGATTATTGGTGTCACACCCCCGCTTGCTGACCCTCACCCACTCCATCCTGAACAGAGCATGCCCAGGTATGAACCCCCAAGGGACAGGGGTAATAGGAGGTGGACCTTAAAGGTCCGGGCCACTGGGTTTGACTCCTGGTTCTGTCCCTGGCAGCAGCACGTCTCAGAGCCTGTTCTGCATCTATAACATGGGGGTATAAAAGACAACACCCCCTCGGAGTTGTTCTGAGGACTATAAGAGATAAAGATAAGTGAATGCTCAATTAATGGCAGCTGTTGCTTTATATTAGCGAGAAGTGATCCGAATGAAACTAACATTGATTGCTACAATTGTTGAGCCTGTACTAAGTGATGGGGACAATTTCCATTAATTCTTCACAATCATCCTAAGGGGTAGGTATTGGAATTAGTCCATTGAGAGATGAGGAAACCGAGGCCCATCTACCCAAGGGCTCACAGCAAGTTCATGGCAGAGCTCAGATCAGACCTCAGCTTTTCTACCCCACACCCAGTCACCAGCACTGCAGACCATACACCTTTCCCATGCCCATCTCTTCCCACCCCAACTCATAATCATGGCTCTCTGTTTCGGTGACATATCTCTTTTGGGGAGAGGATGAGGGTCTGGCACCTGGCCAGGAGCCCTCTGCAGGTCAGAGGGGGTCTAGGAGGGTAGTTCCTGACCTCCAGCAATGCCCAGTCCACTTCCACCACCTCTTTTTCTCTCTACCCTTCCCTAATCCCCCTTGGGAATGGCAGTTGGGCTCCTTTGGAACTGGGAAGGGCCCCAAGCTTGGAATCAAGGAGGTGAAGCTTGAGATGTGGGAACGTGTCCTTGGCTGGGTCGCTCACCTTTTCAAGTCCTGCTTCATCATCCCTGAAAGGCCCGATCAAGTCTACCCTGCCTGCTTCTTAGTGTTGTTGGGGTAATCAATAGCTTGCACCTTCAGAGTAGTAAAATCTGTAAAATTGTAAAAATAAAACTGTGATGTGATAATCACTCTCATCATCATAGAAGCAAATGAAAACATCGCATCCTGCGGACTGTAGACAAGTTTGCATTTCCCCATATGAATGTCCCATTGACCCGAAACCACTGATTGAAAGAACTATCTTCCCCCATTGCTCTGTGGGGCCACCTTTGTCATAAAGCATATGTCCCCTTGTGTGTGTGCAAGGGGAGTGTTTAGGACTTTCCATATTCTGTCTCGTTGGTCAATATTGTTATCTTTATGGCCAACATCACATAGTGTCCATTACTATAACTTAGTAATAGTCTTAATATCAGTAAAAAGACATTTTCTTTTTCCCAGAAAGATTATCTTGGCCATTCTTGGCTTTTAATTTGCATATTAATTTTGGAACCCATTTATGAGGTCCATCATATAACAATAAAAGACCTATTGGTTTTGGATTGGGGTGACACTAAGTCTTTAGGTCAATTTAGGGAGACTTGCCATCATTACAATATTGAGTTTTCCAATCCAGCTACCTTACACCATACACAAATCTATCCAGCAAGGTTTTAGATCTAATGAAAACAGCAAAACAACAAAGCTTCTCGAAACCCGTAGTGAAGAAAGAAAGGAAAATTTGGGGAAGGAAAATTTCTTAAACAAGGGAAAAAGCACTGATATATTTCATTGCATTAAAATTATAACTTCTCACTAAAGTACACGATTAAGAGAGTAAAAAGTCAAGTCACAGAAGGGAAGCAGATATTTTCAACACCCATCACTATAGACTCCTATCTAGAATTTATAAAAAAAAAAAATGCACATACCAATAAGTAAAGATAGAGAACCCCACCAAATGGTCAAGAAACTGAGGCAGATGCTTCACAAAAGAGGATGTTCAGAGAACCAATTAACTCATTAAAAGAACCAATAAACTCAATCTAATTAGAAATCAGGAGCACGTTTATTAAAATGAGAGGAGCTATTACAAAGACTGACAATCCCAAGTGCTGGTGAAAATGTGGCACAACTGGAAATTGAATACTCTGCTGATAGGAGTGTAAATTGTTACACTTTGAAAACTTGTGTGACATTATCTACTAAAGCGGAATATATACTGACCCCCTGACTAGCATTTCTATTCTTAGGTGTCCATCCAACAGAAATGCAAGCTTATGTCCACCAAAAAACATGTACAAAAATGGTCACAGGGGCCTCCCTAGTGGTGCAAGGGGTTAAGATGCAGAACTATGAAGCTATCCCCAGCTACTACAGCACAAGTTCTGTGCCTTGCCAGGGAGGTGACCCACATGGCACAGCAGACCTCTCCTTTCTTGCCTGCTGCTCCCCTTAGCAGTGTATTTCAGTCAGTCTGCCTGTTCTGCTCCCCACTCTGTCCCTCATGAATCCTCTCACTCTCCGCATCTCTGACCTACACTCCAGCCCTTGTATGCATAAATAAATAAATCCTTTTTTAAAAAAAAAAGGGGGGCCTCCCCCGTGACGCAGCAGATTGAGCACAGCCCTGTGAAGCTGTCCACAGCCTCTGCAGCACCGGTTCAATTCCCAGACAGCCAGGAAGATACCCACATGGCGAGGCAGGCCTCTCCTGTCTCACCCACTGCTCCCCTCGGCAGTGTTTTCAGTCCTTCTGCCTGTTCTGCTCCCTGCTCTGTCTCTGGTGAATTCTCTCACCCTCCCACTCCTCTGGCCTGTACCCCAGTGCTTGTATAAATAAACAAATCTTTAAAAAAAAAAAAAAAAGAATGTTCACAGCAGGAATTTTTGTTTCTTATGATAAGAAAATTTTTAAATAATTCCAAACCTAGAATGGGTTCACAGTATGTGGTCACCTGATGGAATACTACACAGCCATGAACATGAGCAAAGTTCAGCTATACACAACCACAGGGGTGAATCCAACAAGTACAATGTTAAGTGAGAAACAAGACACTAGGAGGACCTACTATATGGATTCACTTACCTAACATCCAAATAGGCAATTCAGAATGATTGGAGAATTATGAACTGAAATTGGGAGGAAGCACATGGGGTTTCTGTAGTGTTGGACATCTTATCTTTTTTGACCTAGTTGGTAATTTGTGATAAGTTATTGATCCATACCTTTATGTATCAACTGCTTTTCTGGACATGTGTTAAAACTTAACTTTTGAAGAAGTTTTTAGTGATTGTTCTTAAGTAGAATAAAACTGGTTTCAAACCTGGATTTAGCTGCTTTCTGGCTGTGTAACCACAG